TGGGCCATGGAGCAGGCCAGGCCGTGCTGCTGCCAATCTGTCCGGGGGTGTCACCCAGACACACAGCACAGGTTTGGAAATACAGAGACACCCCACCTACCTGTAACTCACCATACAAAGGTGATGTACGCATATAAACAACATCATCATCCTTGGCAAATCATGACATTTTCGCTGACACCGGACATGGCATCTGTGCGCAGATTCCTCGCAGTGATACAATACCAATAATCACACAATACGTCTCTGATGTATTCCACTCAGCGTCACCCCTCCAGCCCTCCCTCTGCCCCCCAACACACATCCATCCGTCCCTCCTCTATCCCTCCATCCCTCCCTCTGTCCACCAGCATACGTCCGTCCATCCTTCCTCTATCCCCCCATCCCTCCACCCCTCCCTCCGTCCACCAACACACGTCCGTCCGTCCCTCCTCTATCCCTCCATCCCTCCGTCCCCACCCCCCACTGCCTCTGCTCCCCTTTCCCTCTCGGCACACAGATGTTTGCCAGCTGTGGGGGGAGGGGTCCCCGGCCCAGATGGGGCGGGGCTGTGCGGGGGTGGGGGGCAGGTCCCGCCGTGGGGCTGAGCCGATCCAGTTTTCCCTCTTTCCCCTGCAGTCAGAACGAGAACGGGACCTTGGCGGACAACGCAGCCACGCAGAAGCTGCCGGTTCTTCACCCGGTCGGGGTCGTCGTGACGGGGTACCACCCCTCGATTTCCCCGCATCCCCTCCTCCCTTCCCCCTCCCCACTCCTCATGCCCCGGCAGGCCCCTTTCCATGGGGGGCTGGGGTCGGCACAGACATTGACGCCCCCACGTCTTCCCCAGGTTGGAGTCGAGCACCTACGTTAGCGTCTCGTCGGAGATGCCGGAGCGCCACGCCATCGCCCACCGCTACCAGGTGACGGAGCCGGCGCGTCGGCTGAGACGGGCGGGGCTGAGACCGGAAACGCCTGGTGCAGCGATATCTATGTACACCAAGGTCCCATCTTTCTTCCCCTCCTTTAACTCCGTCCCTCTTCTCCCCCCGCCCAGGTGCAGAATTTGGGGCCCCCTACTGTGCCCGTCGCTGTGACCTTTGAACTCCCCATCCGGGCCGAACTTGGCTTCATCTGGGACGTATCCGTGAACCTCAGCGGTGGGGTGAGTGGGACGGAGGGGAGTGGGAGTGGGGTCTAGGGGGTTGGGAGCTGGGACTCCTGGGTTCTCTCCTTGAATAACCTTCTCCATTCCCTGGTAGGAACAGGAGTTCACATGCACCCCGCCCCTGACGCTCCGAATGGGGATTGCAGCCCAGACCCCAAAGGAACCAGTGACAGTAAGATCAGAACTGAGATGCAGCCACTTCTGGGGCTGAGCACATGGGGACCCCTTGCTCAGTGCTGGGACGTGGCCCCTTTGGAGTGGGGGGGGCTGGGCACATGGGGGCCCCTCACCCTGCGCTGGGATGTGTCCCCTTTGGGTGTGTGTGTGGGGGGGAGGCTGGGCACACGGGGACCCCTCGCCCAGCGCTGGGATATGGCCCCTCTGGGGCGGGGGAGGGGAGGCTGGGCACACGGGGACCCCTCGCCCGGCACTGGGATATAGCCCCTCTGGGGCGGGGGAGGGGAGGCTGGGCACACGGGGACCCCTTGCCAGGCACTGGGATGCGGCCCCTCTGGGGAGGAGCGGCTGGCTCACCGCGCTTTGGGACAGGTGGTGGAGTCTGACTCTGGTTCCCTCTGCTCCCAGCGCGGGTGTCTAGGGGCGTCTGTCTGCACCCGGGTCCGGTGTCAGGTGGCCTCTCTGGCCCGTGGAGAATCCCGCAGATTTAACTTTTCCGGGGAGCTGTACAGGCCGGAGGACGGCGCTAAGGTACGCCCGGTGGGGGGCGCCCGCTGCTGGAGCGATGGGGCCATGGTGCCCCACGCTGGACCCACCCCTTACCCCCCCTCTCTGTCCGTCTGTCCTCCAGCTGGAGGCCCGCAGGCTCCAGCTCCGCAGTGAAGCTGCTGTCAGCATCGACGAGACCAAATACTTCCAGATCCAGCCAGAGGAATTCCAGTATAGCCAGGTACCGGGAGCCCGGACGCCTGGGTTCTCTCCTGGCTCTGGGAGGGGAGTGGGGGCTAGTGGGTTAGAGCATGGGGGGCTGGGAGCCAGGACTCCTGGGTTCTCTCCTGGCTCTGGGAGGGGAGTGGGGGCTGGTGGGTTAGAGCAGGGGGGTGGGAGCCAGGACTCCTGGGTTCTTTCCCCGGCTCTGGGAGGAGAGTGGGGTCTGGTGGGTTAGAGCAGGGGGGGCTGGGAGCCAGGACTCCTGGGTTATCTCCCAGCTCTGGGAGGGGGGGGTGGGGTCTGGTGGGTTAGGGTTGGGAGCCAGGACTCCTGGGTTCTCTCCCCTAACTATGTCTTTCCTCAGATCACCACGGAGGTGGAGTTAATTTCCCATTTCAACCCGGTCCCGGTGATTATCGGCAGCTCCATTGGGGGCATCCTGCTTCTCGTCGTAATGGTCGGGCTCCTGTATAAGGTGCGTGTCCCCTCCCCAGCTCTTTGGCTGGCCTGACACCGGCCTGTCTGTCCGTCCGTCAGCCGCCCTCCGTCTAACACCCCTGCCCCCCTCTTCTCTCTTCCCCAGTTCGGCTTCTTCAAGCGGAATCGGCCCATGACCCCGGAGGAGACCCCAGGAGCGGAGCCTGTGTCTGGGGACCCGCAGGGAAACGGGGCCCCACCAGAGCCCCCCTCTGCACAGGGCTCCACTGACCCCGAGGGGGTGTCATGACACTGTGGTGGTGGTGGGGGGGCTGTGAGCCAGGACTCCTGGGTTCTCTCCCCATCCATGGGAGGGGAGTGGGGACTAGGGGTTAGAGCAGGGGGGCCTGGGAGCCAGGACTCCTGGGTTCTCTCCCCGGCTCTGGGAAGGGAGTGGGGGCTAGTGGGTTGGGGGGGGGGCTGTGAGCCAGGACTCCTGGGTTCTTTCCCCATCCATGAGAAGGGGAGTGGGAACTAGGGGTTAGAGCAGGGGGGGCTGGGAGCCAGGACGCCTGGGTTCTCTCCCCAGCCGTGGGAGGGGAATGGCCACATTTCTGAATGTGTTTTTTGTCTGATTATTTTGTTCCAGTTTCTGTTCTGCGGTTTTCTTTGTTTTTAAACCAGAGGAAAAAAATCTTTGTCAGAAGCCGGAGACAAAACTGCTTTGTTCACTAATTCCTACCATGAACTCCTGTTTCTATCACACATGCGGCTTCGTTGGCGCATAAAGGGACCAGGGGGCGATGACTCCGATCTGCCTTCGGTGCAGAGCTGCCGGGCCCACCACTGGCCGCTGGGTTTATTATCTGATTGCGTCGTGTAGGAGCTCGAAAGCGTGAAAGGCCCCAGCAGATCCAGGCTGTGGGCTCTGCCCTGCCCCCTTCACAGAGAGGAAAGTGGGGCTCAGCTCCCCCAAAGCCAGCTCACGCCTAGCTGCAGCCTATTTACGGTCGTCTCCCAAATTCTGCAGCAGGGTCACACCTCAAACAGGTCTAAAATCCACACACTGCGTCAGATCGACCTGAACATTGCTGTGCTGGGAGGCGGCGCCAGGTGGAATTTGGGGTGCAAATTTGGGGTTGATTAGTCCAGGGGTTCAGGAGATACAGCCCCCCACAAAATTGGCCTGCTCTAGATAGACTTTAGGGTGCGAATTTGGGGGTCTAGTCTAGGGGGTTCAGATTGTTGCCCCCCAAAAAACCTTGGCCAGTTGTAGGCACTGGCTAGAATTTGAGATGGTAAATTGGGGTTCTGTAATTAAGGGGTTCTGTAGATCCTGCCCCCCAAAAAACTGCCAGGCCGGTAGTAGGGACTGGATATCATTTGGGGTGCAAATGTCCAGTGAGCTAATCCAGGGGGTCAGGAGATACAGCCCCTCCCCTGACAAATGCCCCATCTTGAAAATGTTCGGGTTCTCCGTGTGTTTTCTCGGGACGATCCACCGAAAATGGGTCTCCCGTGAGTCGCCCGGGCCTGAGCCAGCGACTCTCCACCAGAGCCGGCCCCGGGAGCCAGGGTTTGGGAAGCCGCTGGCCTTTCGCCCGGCTGTCCCCGTGTGCCAGGCGCTGAGATGACGTCAGAGCCGCAGGGTGGTTGTGGGCAGCTGCTGAGTCGCGAACGCGGCAGCGCCCGACCGTCGGCCCCCCGTCACAAAATGACCAGATGATGAACCAGGCTGCGGATGTGGCCAGCGCTGGCCAGCGGGTCCCGGGATCTGGAGGGACTGCGGGTGCCCGGTGTCGTGCCAGCCGGGGTCGAAGATGGGATGGACGGGGGCGCTGTGGAAGGGGAGCAGGCGGATCGAAGCGTTGGGATGACCAGCTCCTCGGGCTGGCGCTGACAGTCTTCATGAAACTCCCGCGTTTCACCTGCTTCCCATCCGGCGAGATCCCCAGCAGGGGATGGGCCGTGGCTGGGTCTAGGGTTAGACCCTCCTTCACTGGGAACAGTGGGGTGGCGGGTCATGCTGGGTCTATGGGGCTGTTCCCCACCTGCCCACTCCTTGGCAGGGGCCACATGAATCCCGCCTTGGAGGGTCCCCCAGCAGAGCTCGCCCAGCAGGGTCCGGGTGGGATCCGGGTGGAGACCTCCCAGGGTGCTGCAGGGATTAGCGTGAGGGCAGACCCCACCCTGGCAGTCAGGGCTGGCCCCAGTGCCCCAGCTGCGTGGCCGTTCCTCAGCTGCCCCGCCCCAGAGGTGGCTGCATCTCAGTGCCAGATGAGCTGTCCCTGTGCGGTGTTGTATGTGGCTGTTCCCCAGATGCCCCGCCCTAGAGGTGGCTGCATGGCAGCAATTTTGCACCCCAAGTCCCCGCTTTGTGCGTCTCTGTTTGCAGTGGGTAGGAAGGGGAACAAGCCGGGGGCATCTGTTTGGGATGGAGCCAGCAGCTGGCTGGAAGCAGTAGCGCCCCCTGGTGCAGGAGAGAGGCCGTGTGATACAGTAATGTGCCCAATGAACCACCCCGCTGCTAAGGAGGAGGAGTCCTGGCTTGATCCCCTGACTCCAGCTGTGATCGGTTACCCCGATGGGTCGTTCAGAAGCACCTGGGGTGGGGGCAGATATATTGGGGACATCCCGTTTACCTGGGGAGTTATTTGGGGAGAGCGCTTTATTCACACTGGTACCGGAGTCCTCGCGGTGGGCTGGGAAGCCTGATGCAGCCGGCTGGGAGCCGACCGACGCAGCAGAAGGATCCGTCTCCTGGAAGAAAGGGACAGGGATGACCCAAAGAATTGCTCAGACAGAGAGAGAGAGAGACGGCTGTTCTCATCTTCCTGGGGATAAATCCAGAGTGACTCCGGATCCCCCCCCAGAGTAGCCAGGCCCCTGGCGGGTTGGCGAGGCCGCGGCGGGAATGCTGCGCCCAGTTCTGGGGTGCCCCGTTGATAAAGGATGTCGCCAGACTGGGGAAGGGGCAGAGGGGAGCCGCAGAACTGAATCGGCGACTGAAGCGGCTTCGTTTGCCGAGCTCGGCTCTCGGAAGGACGCCGGAGAGGTGGCGTGATCGCGGTGGAGAGGGACCTGCGCGGGGAGGAAATCCCGCAGACTAACGGCCTCTCTGATCTCGTGCAGAAAGGCCGGGTAAGAACCAACAGCTGGACGCTAAAGCCTGAGCTATTCAGACTGGAAATCAGGCGCCGGATTGTTAACAGGGCGGGTGACTCGGACACACTCCCCAGGGATGTGTTGCACCCTCCGTCACTAGAGGGCTTCAGGTCACGACAGGAAGCAGAATCTATTGCGTGGGGGAAAGGTGGGGTGGAGATTAAAGGAGGGGTCTCGGGAGGAGACAGGGATAACAGGGAGAGGTGAATGGGAGGGGCGGTAATGAACATGTAAGTGAATAATGACCCCCAAAGCACTAAACGGACCCCAGCTGAGATCAGGGCCCTTAGTGTGAAGTGATGGGGACAGAACCCAGGAGTCCTGGCTCCCAGCCCCCACCCTGCTCTAATCCACTGAATCTGGCCTCAGCGGCATGCAGTGGCAGGGAGTTCCCCAGGCCAAGTCAATGCCCCCTGGTTCAGATGTCATAAGAGAGGGAGAACAGCCCCCCCCCCCCAATCTGACTTTTCTGGGAGGGAAGGGGAGGGGGCGGGGGGAACGTGGCTGTTGGTGGGTGCAGAGCACTCACTAATTTTTCCCTGCGGGTGCTCCAGCGCTGGAGCACTCACGCAGTCGGCGCCTATGGATGGTGGCCACTGAAAAGTGCCGCCCGGGTTGTGGAATCTTTCTAAAAGCGGTGTGCAAACGATGGGGTATGCCTGCAGACAATTGCATGCTGGGAACTCGACCCCCTAACTCCCAGAGATCCCTGGGTGCGCTGTTTATTTCTATCCCACGACTCGCTCTGAAAACTCCCTGTGGGCTCTGCGCCGGGCGCTGGCATGTGGCGTGCTGGGGCACCTGCCTGCGGCGCGCTGCGCGTTGCAGTGACACAAGCAGCCGCGAGCGGCCGTGCACGAGCGCTGGCTGGGGCTGTACATCGACGTGACTGGCGTTTGCAGCGCGGATGCAGCCTCTCCAGCCTGGCGTCTCCGTGCTGAGCTGGGCCACGCTGCGGACCTGTTCTGGGTGGCTCACAAGTGCTGGAGCTGACTGGGCAGCGTCGCTGCAGAGCCGTGATCTTCGCGTCGCTCCCTGAAGGGGGCAACGACTTACTGGGAGTTTGAACCCGGGGGGGGGTTTTGAGGGAGCTCGGGTGGCGGGAACACGGCACTCAGTCCTGGGGAAAGACAAAGCTGAGGGCTTGGCAAAGACATAGGAGGCTGCACACAGGCCGAGGTGCCGGACCCCTGTAGCTCTGGGGCCCTGTTATCCTGTGGCCCGTTGGCATGTCCAGGCCGAGGAGGATGTGGGCTTGCAGGTGGCTCCCCTGGACTATTTGCCGTGCGAGGGCAGCATCCCCGACTTCACGTCCCATCCCACAACTTGCGTGGTTGAACTCGGGGTGGCTGCCGACAGTCTGTGCACGTGTCGGCTCCCACCTGCATCCTTGAGAACAGTCTGATGGGTAAACTCCTCCTGAGCTTCCCTGGGTCCAGAACCACCTCTGGGACATTAGGCGGATTTTCACACAACCCCCTTTTCGGCGAGCCGATTAACCAGAGCGTCATACAGCAACAGGCCAAATAGAAGCACCAGAATCGCCCCGTCACTGGCAGCTATTTATGACATAAACTGGTTGCAACCTAGGTACAACGTTGCGATGGCCACGTTAACACCACCCTATACCGAAAACCCACCGACCGCTATGCCTACCTTCATGCCTCCAGCTTCCACCCCGGACACACCACACGATCCATCATCTACAGCCAAGCACTGAGGTACAACCGCATCTGCTCCAACCCCTCAGACAGAGACCAACACCTACAAGATCTTCACCAAGCATTCTCAAAACTACGATACCCGCACAAGGAAATAAGGAAACAAATCCACAGAGCCAGACGTGTACCCAGAAGCCTCCTGCTACAAGACAAGCCCAAGAAAGAAACCAACAGAACTCCACTGGCCATCACCTACAGCCCTCAGCTTAAACCTCTCCAACGCATCATCAGTGATCTACAACCCATCCTGGACAATGATCCCTCACTTTCACAGACCTTGGGAGGCAGGCCAGTCCTCGCCCACAGACAACCTGCCAACCTTAAGCATATTCTCACCAGCAACCACGCACCGCACCATAACAACTCTAACTCAGGAACCAACCCATGCAACAAACCTCGATGCCAACTCTGCCCACATATCTACACCAGCAA